TCGGTGTTGAGCAAAAAATTTGGTTTGGCATAAAGGATTCCAGTTTGCTCTTTCCCCCGGTACATTAAGAGTTTCAATGATTCCCGCCTTTCCCCTTTGCCTTCCTGCCACCGACTCCCAGCTTGGCCAGCAAACTGAGCAGTCTCCCAACCCTGCCTGGGATCTCCTTGCAAGCATGTTAGTTTATGGATTTTCTACTTGGCAAAAAAATCTAGATAGGAAGTGAGCATAGTTACATCTGCAGGGAAACCGCTGATGGGACAGCTTTCTGAAAGTGACTCTTGGAAAATTCAGAGAAAAGCAGATTCCTGTGTAAAGAAAGACAGCTGGAGCCACTTTTGTACAGCAGACGCTGCCAAGGAGTGATCACTAGGAACAGCACATTCATATATACAGTCGTCCTGGAAATTGTGACCTGGGGAATACCTTTCCCACCTTTGCTCATTGACTCCCATGTGAGTGCTGCCTTGATGCTCTTGAAAGAACCTTCCACTTTGCACACTGGGGTGGTCAGCAGGAATTAGTTTGATTTTTGTAAAGTGGTGAGCCCAAAGAACAAGATGCACTCGTGTGGAGAGCTATCTTCCATACAAAAGGGCAAAGTGTGGCTGAATTTTAAGAGAGAACAGCAACATCAGACAAGCTGGACAGTTTTCAGTAGAGATAGCAAGGAGGTTGGATAGGTGGAAATGTTCAGCCAAGACAACATTGTCCTTTCTGTCATCTCGTCATTGCTGAAAGGGACTTTTCAGGTATTATGGCTGAAGCTGTTCCTTGATGAGGGAAAACAGCTCAGGGAAGGGGTCTGTATGGCCCCAGAAGGTTAGGATCTAAAGTTTTAGCTCAGGAGAGGGGGTAAGAGACAGCCTCTCCTCTCCTCTCCCCTCCTCTCCTCTCCCCTCCTCTCCCCTCCCTTCCCTCCCCCTCTCCCTCTCCCTCTCCCTCTCCCTCTCTTTTGCTTTGCCCATCACCAAACAGGGATTTAACCCAGGACTAATCCAAGAGCACCAGCCAATTGTAATGTCCTGAGTTTAGGAGGCAAAAGACAGCAAAAGAATTACGATTACTTTAACTATCATTTTACAGTTTCAAGGCCATCACTTCTAATCAAACCATAAACTGGATATGATATACAGCCTGCTTATACATTGTACATATGACACTGATTAAAGAACAAGATGAGCTAATGGTGTGGAAGTCATTGCTGTGAACACACGCAATCCCTCGTACGCTGTAGCACTCTGTAGCACAAAAACTCCCAAGATGCTGTATTGTACGGTGTCGTTATGAGGTTGGGGCAGCTGTCTGAGCAGTAATTCTTCATCCAAGCCATCGCAGCAGGGGATTTTACCCCACTGAGCTGGTACCGCAGGTGCTCTCGGTAGCTCTTGCTGGGCAGGTCTAGGTGTGTGTGGTGAACAGAGTGACCATGGAAATAGAAGAAATCCTGCAAGTCCACAGGAGGATGTGGAGAGCAGAAGAATCCCCTGAAGGACACGGGGGCTGATTTCAGGGACACGGGGTGGAAGGTTTGATGGTTATCCTCCCTGCTGACTCCTTCAAAACACGCCCCCCCCCCATTTGTGAAGATCTGAAGTTTGCCACCTCACCTTTGGCTCCAGGCAATTAGGCAAAACTATTTATGCTTATGACCTTCAACATCAGTTGATCTGAGTGATTTACAAACTTAATTAATTTAACCAAAGGGTAGAATGAGAGAGTGAAATTAAGTAGAAGTGAAAAGAAAATCTGGGATGAAACAGGCCTCTATTGCCATAGATTTACCCTTAACTATATCCTGAAATTGGCCTAGTTTTGCTCAACTTTAGAAGGAAATCACACGTTCAAGCAGTTTACATCATGTCAAAATGCCTTTTGGAACTTTTTTTTATAAGACACCTCACTTAAAAAGAAAGTTTAATAGCTCAAGAAGTGACGCTGGCATGGATTTTGATTTTAGCATCTTCCTTTCCAGAGAAGGATGAAACTCTTTGTGTTTGTTCCAGCCTGGTCCAAATCCAGGCTTCCGATCCCAAAAAGTCCTTGCAAAAATGGAAACTCTATCCATTGCCCAGCTGTAATTTTAAACAGAATGGGGATTAATGCAGTTTTTCTGGCAGAGGATGTGGAGCAGAGCACAGACCCCTCTGCCAGCTCTCAGGGGAGGTTGGGGGGGACGTTTTGTTTTCCCTTGGCAGAGGTGTCAGGAGGAGGAGCAGCCAGAGAGAGTGGTTTCTCCTCTGTGCCTCTGCTCCCAGGCTGCATCATCTCCCCTTGCAGAGCCTGAGGGATTAACCCAAAATCCCAGAGAACCAAGGAGGGGTGCTGGAAGATGAGCAAACTGCTAGAAAGATCCCCCAAGGTGTACAAAGCCTCTGCAAGGCAAAAACACTCATCCTCAGCTGGTCGGCATGCTGCCATTTCTCCTCCTCCTTCCAATCCTATTAGTATTAGAGAGGGATAGAGCTATAAGAGGAAAAGCCCATCTTTAGCAGCAGTGCTGACAGCTTGCCTTTTAAATCTTTGATAAGCACTGGCTTGCACAGGCACTCTCATCTGCTGCATGACAGCATGCGGAAGCAGAAGCCCAGTGGTCTGGCCCCTGCTGAATGCCTGCTGGATGCTGGGCACATGTTTGGAAGGTACCTGGGGAACTTCAGCCATTAAAATGCGGTGATGGAGCCCCGGCGTTGCAGTTCTTCCTCCATCAAAATCTGTTTCCTCTGCACTTGTGTGCCAGGACCTCAATTCAAAGCCATGTTCCCTCGTTTGATATGGAGGTGATGGCTGCTGTTCCCCGTGCCCTGAGATCGAGGGCACCTGCAACCTCTGGAGAGGGGGGACAGATCTGTCAGCAAAGATCACTCACCATGACTGCTGAGTGTCTGTGTTCTTCCCTGTTCATCCCACGCAGCTCCCAAAAGGGTTTGCAGGAGCCCTGTGGGATTGAATTTGGCTCAGACTTCCTCTTCCATGTCTCAATTCAGGACTGCAGACAGTCCCTCTGCTCAAATGGGTGCAAAAATAGCTACTCTGGGGCATTAATTAGAAACCTTTATAAATGCACTGACAGATGGTGACGACAAAGACATTGCCAGAGTCTCTGGGTGAAGATTATTGTTGTGGGAAGTAGAAGGCCATGTTTACAGTTTAGGAGAGTCAGGAATTGACTCTGGGAAACCACAGTTGATGGTGGTGGCAATAGGCATGGAGCATGCTGGGATTCTGCTGCCCTCTCCTGGATGCAGCATCTTCTTCTGGTCCATGAGTGCTGGATTGTGGAGGTTGAGTATGTCCAGGTTGTCTGTAACGCAGGCCCCTGACATCCTGGCTTCTGGCAACCACAACCCATAGAGAGATACTCAGTTGTGGGTCTTTCGGAGGCTGGGGCACCCGGTCCCACCCCTTGCTGCCATGGTGAGAATGAGCATATTTTGGTTGTATATCAAATCAGGATGACCTTGGCTAAACACTTCTCCCTCTTCAAGAGCAGAGATGGCAGCACCGCAGGGAGGCTCGTGGAGGGCTTTGTGCACAAAGGGTTTTACCTGCAGGGCAGACCCAGCAGTTGTCCACTGAGAAACCACTTAGCTGCTGTGTCAGTGGGGCACGCAGTAGTCCAGGCTGTGGAAAGGGAGAGATCACGCTTTGTTCCCAGGGTGGCACATGAAGTCACCACATCAGATGAGTAGAAAGCTTATGTTCCGGTCTAAATCTGATTATCAGCTCTTCAGTAGAGAATCTTAGCTTGTAGGTTTGGGAAAGCAGAGATATCTGCCCTGAAGATGAGCAGGAGCTTAAAGTGTGTGAAAATGGATTTAGGAAGAGCATCAGTGGTGATCGGAGACTGGGGACACAGTGGCTGTACCTTGGGGACCTGGCCGGGTCACAGCTGTGTTGTGCCCTGTGCTGGATATGCAGCAGGGTACGAATGCTTCAGTGGGGTATTCAGCACTGAAATATTTAAATCAGAGCAAGAACATGTCTGTGTGTCACACAGTGTCAGCATGCAGCATGTAGAAACATGGGAGAAGGGGGAGAAAGTAGGGACGTGAATGGGTTTACAAGACGCGTGCCTCAGGCCTGTAGGATGCAGGCAAGCACAGATGCTAGCACCCTTCACCACTTTTTTTTGCCAGACCCAACCTATTTTCCCATCATGCTATGTGTGTTTGTAGAGTAAAAAGGGGGCCTACAGAGCGTGTGGTAGACCATGCGCCAGGCTATGCATGTAAGCACGTATGTGTCCCACTCTGACCTCATACCCCCAGTGCACACAGCAGCCTCTGGACACGTGAGCAGCCCAGAGATGCCAATCCCAAATTATCAGGGGGTGTGGGGGTGGGGTAGTCTAGTAGATCTGCCCCACACATGCATGTCTCACAGAGGCAGCAGCCGCTGTTGTGGGCAGAGCAAGTGGAAATGAAGCAGCCTGGATTTACTGCACTGCATGCCAATGGGGGATGATCTAGTTACAAGGCTCGGTCATAGAGAGGAATATCCCTTGTATGGGGCAGGAATTACAGTTAAGTCCAAAGCTATATCTGTGCTATATGGCAAATTTAAGTGTCTGCATAGAAATGGCAGGAAAGAAAAAGCAGCAAGAGCTGGAGCGCTAATCTTAGTTTACAATAAATACTTCAGCATTTCCTCACTGTTTGCAACAGTGTAAATGAAGCAATATCTTGAAAGCAGTGATAGAACGATTTAAGAAAGAGGGAGAAGAGCTTTAAAGAAGGAGGAAGAATAGCAATACATGGTGGGAGGCTGTGGGAGGTGGTTACAGGCACCGCCCTAACCTGAAATATCATCCTAAGGAGTCTGGGAGGCACTGTTCACAGTGATCCTTCAGGATCACAGCAGATGCTGTCCAGATCACTCCCCACCCTGGGCACCCAGCGTGATGCTCTGAGAGGTGCTTTAGACCCTGGCCCCTTCTCACACTCCCTGTGCATCATTTGTCTTCTAAGTTTTTCTTCTTTGGGTCTTGATTTTTTTAGGTAGCTCCTGGCTTGGCCTGCCGGTTCCCCAGCCTTCAGAAATGGAGCACAGCCCAAAAAAACACATGTCTTCTTCTGAGCCCATCCTGGATCTCAAGACAGACATGGCAGAAGCACTTCCAGGTGAGAAACGTACCCGTCTGCTCTCCCAGGTACCTGCAGTCACACCATGCAGAGCCACCCACTGGTCACCTTGATGGACCTGCACTTAGCAACAGGCACTTGATAGGGATGCGTGTTCCTGCCAGGCCGATGTCACCGTCCTTCCCTCCTCCTGCTGTACCCCATTCCTTCACCCCAAATGGCCTGATTTGCTCCTCATTCCAGTTATGCCAATGCCAAGTTGGGCTCAGGCTTGGAGTCATGGGTTTCTTCACAGCCTACTTTGACCCTGTGGTGAAACCTGGGGTGCTCTGGTTTAGCCCCCATGACCCTAATGCTCAGCTTCATCACTGGAGGGTGACAGGGCATCTTCTGGTCCAGGCAGTGCAAGGCTTCTACTCATGAGCATCAGTCCTGGGCAAGGTGGACCCTCCAAGTCACCCCTCTCCTTAGATGTACCTGTACTGTGGTGTACTTTCTGTATGTTTAAATAAGTCAACACCAGGTCACTATAAGCTCTTCGAAGCTCAACAGATTTCCCATGCTGAGCTACTTCCAGAAATTAGTTTCCCACTGTGCATGCCATGCCAGAGAGCGGATGAAAAGGCTGAATCACATCTCCTGGGTTGCAAGCATTCAGCCTTTTTTAAAAACAGGATTGCAAGTGATGGCTAATCTCCCCTTCACACATGAGCACCCTTGATCTCCTCCTGAGAAACTGCAAGACAACCTCTGCTGCTTCCTGACACTGGAGAAAGGAAAAAATACCTGTTTGTTGGATGTTCCCAACAAGAGACACAAAGATGCAAATCCCAGTGTGGGGATCTGTTGCTTTGCTGGATTCACCTGTCTTTCATTTGCTCATTTAGAGGGAGCCCAGTGAAGCAGACACTCGACCAGTAGGCATTAATTTCTGGAGCTTCTAACCATATAAATCTTAATGCCCTTTTCGTGATGTTACAGCCAATGACCAGGAGAGCCAAGAATCCCTTTTCTTCCCCAAATATCAATGACAAAAAATGTCTGTGCTTCATTTTTTCATTTGCATAATTTATTTCCTCTATAATCTTCTCAAAGCTGTGGATGCAGGCAGGATGCTGTCATCCCACCTCAGGGACATGTCCAGTGATGATCTGTGGCTGGGGACAAATTTGTCCTGGACAGAAATGGGTGGCCTGAGAAGAGTACACACCCTCAAAGTCTAGCAGTGACTGTCAGGAGCAAATTGACCCCTCTTTTAAGTGTATGCTGAAGCATCTTTATGGTTGCTAGAGCGAGGTTAAGAAATATTTCAGCTGTGAAAGAAACCTGGCAATTCTTTAAGGGCACCAAGAGGAGTAGTAATAACCAATGTGCTAACTCACACTGTGACATCCATCTGGGGTTTAGTGATGGTTTGATCCAGGTAGATATTTTCAAGCCCTTGGAAAAACCTCCTGGCCTCTTCCAGATTGAAGAGGTCGGCACAGGAGTGGCTGCTCCTCAGTTGCTGTTGTCCCCTTGGCGAGAGCAGCACCTCTTGACAAGGGTTTGCCATACACAGAACTGATGAGTCACTCCTGCCAAGAAATAGCCAGGTCTCATCCAAACTGACAGGCTTGACAAGAAGTGCTTAATGAAAGCTGCTTTTGCTTCATGTGGTATTGAAACATCTACCCTGGGCCAGATGTTTTGCTGATGTAAATCAGCATTGCTCCATTGGCTTCAGTTACAGCAGCTTACAACATCTGAGGGCCTGGCTCTGCACCATCACCGGAATTTGACCTCTTGTTTCTGAATCCGTTCTGCTTTGCCAAAACAAAACGTGTTATAATTCCTATCCCTGCCATAAAGCTGGAGTCATTGCACTCAAAAAGCATGACCAAATGAAGCAATCATTGCAAAATCTTGGTCCAATAAAGCTGCTGTCCATCATGTACATACTCACAATCCCTCAGCTGGCTGTACTTTCGGAGGCATCTCACTTCTTCCAAAGCAACTCCTCCAGCAGATTGCATGCATACATTATTCTCAGAACAGACTTTGCAAGGACTGGGACATCCCAGCATGAGGGGAAAGCAAAAATTCTGCCTACCCATGCCAGAGAAGGCAGCCAGATTTGGGAGACCCTTGGAGGGGGGAATTTACTGCTTCTTCTCCCACCTTCCCTGGGAGTGCCAGAACTGAGGCAGATTAGCACAGATGCTAAATTAACCAGTGACATTATCACTCGATCCAATATCCACCACTTATTCATAAAGGAGAAACAATATTTGGACTGCACAGATCCACGCTGAGCAGGAAATGTAGTCTAAAACTGAGCAGAGCTTGTACCCTTCCAAAAGAACAGCAAAAAAAATATATGTTTGGGAAACAAAAACAATTTCACAGGGATGGATTTGAATTGCAGCAATAAGCTGTGTGATTAAGGCAGTCAAAGAACACACAGTCACGGCCCCAGGCTTCACACAGGGAGGCTTCTCCCCTTCCTCAGCAGGCAATCTCCAGCCCTTGCACAGCTCCTGCCAGCTCTGGGGAGAAGAGGAAATAAGAAGGAAGTTAGAGATTAAATCCATCATGGGATGAACTCAAAACAGAAATTAGCCTGCTGATGGGTATCGTGTCAGCGTTCACCGAGGGGTTTAGCGAGTGGCAAGTGCTGATTTAGATCACAGCAGGGGCCTGCCCCTGAATTAACTGCAGAAACACACCCTTTACAGTATTTGTTACATCTCCAAACAGACCCTGGGTGCTGATAGAAGTCATGGATAATAAAAAGTGTCTTGAGTTAGATATCCATCTGTCATTCATGACAGAAACTCTGATTTAAATGCAAAAAAGGTCCAAATTGCCTAGCATTCCTATGTGTACTCCCACAGAGCACACACTCCTGGGCTGCTGCATTGCCTCTGTGTACACGTTTGCAGGATGGAGGCATTTCCACGTTGTGCCCACTCCTGCAGTGTGTGCATATCTACACAAGCACTCAGCAAATACTTATTTTATTTAGATGAACGCTCTTGAGGGTGTTTTGCTTCCTGTAACCACATTGCCTGTAATCTAATGCTAAACATCCTTATATGAGGTGAAATTGTGACCTTCATACCCACAGGAGGTGGAAAGGGTGATGTTTGTGAGCCCATCTTCATCATTTATACACTTCTCAAGCTGTTCTTAATGTCTTTATCATAGAGGACCTGGGAGGAATGGGGGAACAGAGCTACTGCCGGCCAAGGGGTACTGCAGACCATCCATGGCACACACGGAACAAACACCAGCAGATACCACTGACCAGCTTTCTTCCACCTTTGAGAGCTGGACATTCCCTCCAAGGAGAGTAGCTCGTGGTTCAGTCAGCCCTCAGAAAAAAAAACCCTGAAATCTCTGATTCTTGAACCCACCTTGCCACCTCCCGACAGCAAAGGACAACCTGAATGACGGAGAAAAATCTGGATTTTTTTTTTAAGGCTGTAAGGTTGGGTCTTTCAAGAGGTACACCTTGCTGTTAGATTATTTCCTGGTTCTTGCTGAGATGTTGCAACAGCAGGAACTGATTATAAAAATAGCATCAAAGGAGAGTCAAGCTAGGTTTTCTGCCACCCATGCAATGAGTTTTGGGCTCAAGCCACTCTCTGCACCTGCACATCACAGATAACCATCCTAGCTGGTACTTTCTGCTGAACTTGGTACCTTCTGCCAAGGGATCCAGGCCTCCCTGGAGAGCCATCTCAGAGCTAACGGGCATTACCAGACCTGTGTGGCAGGGCCTGGCTACCAGCCTGACAACAAAGCTCATTGGCACGACCACACGTGAAGCTCCCAGTGCTATCCACCAACTGGATTAACATCATTAAACAGACATTTTTGAATATGCAAAGCAAAAGCAGCACATGTGCTGATAAATATATATATTGCTCCACAGGGCGTAGAAAGGTCCTTGTATTTTAGCAGGGAAGTTTAAAACCAAAGACAGTTTGTCTGTCCTGGTCCTGGCACCCCTGGGTCCTGCTGGGGTTGCCATAGCAGTTAATCCATTCACAACAGTCACCGGTGCTACAGATTTAGCAACAACCTTCGCTGGCACAACCTGTCTAACTGAGGCTCTTGGGAATGCAGAGGTTACTGCTGCAGGCACATGGGGTCAAAGACATTTATTTATGCCAAGTCTTGTCCTTCTTTGATAAAATAAGGGAGGTTAGAGCCAACCAGGACAGCAGACACCAGTTTTTGAGCTCAGCTTGACTTTTCATTAAACAATTCAGTCAGAGGCAAGACCTGAGATTGATGGGGTCTAGGAGCTTGCACAGAAGCAGCTTCTTTGCCTCAGGCATGGGTAAGTTGCAGATACACCCTGTGCATCCCGGTGAACATCCAGCCTGTACTGACCACCGCCAGCACTCAAGGCAGACACAGGCTGGAGCTTCCCAGGGCAAGTTGCTCTTACATATAAAATCTGCAATTGTTTCCATCACCACCTGCTTTCTGGACACAGTCCAAGCTCCCCATCACTGTCTGGTTCTCAAGTAAGAATTAATGAGAAACATTTTGATGAAGAGTAAATCCGTTTTCTGAACACGCTTTTAGAGAAAGCAAAATTTTGGTTTAGGTGAACTGCTTACATCCCTGCCTCCCTTCTCCAGGCACACACAAGGACTAAACATGCTCTTCCAGCTCTTGTTTTGAAACTTTTACCCATCTTTGTTCCATAACATCCTAAGTTTAAGAGGCTGGAAAAGAGTTTAATAAGCTTGTAGAGGAACTGAGGTGTTACTGTTTGACCCCAAGCGATGTGTTGTTGCTGTTTTTTCATTTAAAAACTGGAAGGAAAAGAACTGTTGAAATAAAGCCATGGAATAGAAATAGCACAAAGCTGTGCTTTTACCCACGGTGGGGCTTTCGCCCTGATGCCTGACTCTCTGCTTGGCTGCCTCGTACAGGCTTAGAAAATGCTTTTGTTTGGGACAAAAAAAGAAGAGAAGAATCTCCTTTTCTATTCTGGGGAAATCTGGGTCTCTGCAGCAAATGGTGGGAAAGGAAAAACG